AAGTATATTTCAATGAAAATAATTCACTTTTTAATATTTCTATGCTTGGCCAAAAATTAGTTAATTGGTTTAAGAAAGTATATACCTTAATATAGCATTAACCTTAAAAAAGTTTATTCAGCAATTCTGCTAATGCAAAATTGCTTAACAAAACATACATTTTAACGATTTTTAAAGATAGAAATCTTAAAAAGCACAATTTAAAAAAAAAAAAAAACTCAGACTATATGGATACTTTGGCTGGTTGTATTAAGAATGATTTAGTACAGCTTGACCTTGATTTTACAAATTGATTGGGACCGACAAATCCATTAGTTAAATCGAAGAAATTCGTTAAATCAAATATCAATTTTTGTGAAGAGTAAGGTATAAAAAACACTAATGATATGGAAAAAAGTTNTACCTCAACATTTACAAATTGATTGGGACCGACAAATCCATTAGTTAAATCGAAGAAATTCGTTAAATCAAATATCAATTTTTGTGAAGAGTAAGGTATAAAAAACACTAATGATATGAAAAAAAGTTATTGTTTACTACGAGCTTAAAAATTACAAGTTATACATTAGGAAATCAACTTTAAAATTATCTTAATTCTTTAATACTACTTGCTTTTAAAACTGAATACATACATATAATTACACACTTGGATTAGGGATTTTAGCACACTTTTTGTCAAGACAGAAAAAATATTCGTCAAATCTGAGAATTTTTTAAATCAAAGTACGTTAAATCGAGGTTCAACTGTAATAGTTCTGTTATTTTTCTTATTACCCTGAAGTTTGGTGAAAGACAATTTTAATAATCAGATTTTTATTAAAATATGAATTACCAGTACTCGGGCTATCTCCAAATGCAGCAGCAAAATTGGCATCCGACTCAAAAGCATCAGCAGATCCAAATCCTAAAACAAAATAAAGATACATTTTAAAATGCCTTTTTGAGTCAACTAAAAGTGGGCGAAAGGGTTTTTTGTCATATTTAAAGAAAAATTAAAACACACCTTAAAATGGAGACCCTGAAAAAATTTTATATTTTGAAATCTAAGCAATCAAACTTGTTTTTTTCTTCTTTTTTTAATTTTTAAAAAAAAAAGAAATGCTTATTTTGAATCTCACAGTGAGCTAAAGAAAAAAATCAAGACAACATTTTCCTTAAAAAATTAGTACTTATTTTGGGATAAATACTTTTAATAAGTACAAACTAAAATACATATAATTTGCTTCACATAGAATTAAAAACTGTAAAGAGAATATAAGGTCACTTCAGCAGCTAAAAAAGAATATTGTATTGCAGTGGGTACCCTCTCACACAATATACAGTTTGACTTCTATTTAATAAACTTTCATTTTGCAAATTTTTTGAAGAACCAAGAACCTTTTGGAAATTTCTTTGTAAAATAACTTCCAAATGGCAAAATGAATTTTCTATTTAACGAACTTTTTTTTAACATCCATTTTCCCTATTTTCCAAAATATTTTGGAACATTTCAAACTTGTTAAACAAAGTTGATGGGGGAAATGACCTTGAATTGATTTTCGAAGCCACTTAACTTTTAAAGAAAGCAGCAATATCCCTTTCCCTTTTTGTTTGCATTTTATTCAGAAATTCATGCCAAAAGTCAATTTATTGATTATGTTTTGATATCAATTTATGACCAATGAAAATCAATTTATGATTATTGATGATATTTTTGTATACTTTTTCTATGTTTTTAATGCTCTAACGTTTTAAATGTTTATAATCTTTTAATGTTACATTTTATTACATGTCAATTAATGGTCAATGTTCATTCCCCTAGTATGCTTGCACTAAGTGTCCACACTCCAGCAAACGATGCATGTATCAAGTGCCGCTGTTAAAAAAAATAAATTACAAATTGTTTTGCTCATGGATAGGGCTGCAGGTTTGTCGCGGAGCCCTGCTCTTAGGTTTTAGACCTGAATAGATAATATTAAAAACTTGGAATATAATCACTCCTGCTTAAATTTGAAATGTTTTCTATTATGCTAATTCATAAAATTGAACAGCAATAGAGAATTAATATCTTATTGATAGTTTAAAAGACTGTGGGGAAAGAAGTTATCGACCATGTCAACCTTCATCTATGAAAAGGTACCCCAACATAGAATCGAGTTAATTTGTCTTATATACTAGTGAATTGGAATTGTATTTTTGTAGTGGTAGACGCACTACAGTACTCCCTCGCCAGAATTATATCAGTGATAGAATTCGATGAACGGATTCATTGCTGTTTTGTGAGAAGCCGAGAGAGCTGTGTATTAAGATCACTGTACTTTTTTTTAGTGAGTAGGTGGGTTATACATTTTAAATTTTACTTACTGCAAAAGAAATACATAAACTACTGTTTCTATACTTAAAAACAATTAAATATATAAGTTTAATGTTTATAATTACAAATAAATTTAACAAAAAATGATCAAATGAAGGATGCATAACACACTTACAGTTAGACATATTTATGCAAATAGAGCCTTTAATTGATTTTTCCTTTTTGTTTTATTCTGAAGTTATCAGCTGATTGCAGTAAAATCATATGCGGGAAAATAGTTTCCCGTTGGACAAAAGTAAAGATGCTGGTTGAGAGTGCATATTACTACTTTTTATTTTATAATCGTCATTGAACAACTGACCCAAATTTTGGGTTCAGTACCACTAATCAAGGTTCGTGATTTTTTAAAATTTTTTTAAAAAAAATCAAAAAAACTAGATTTTTTTTATTTAAATCGGATTTTTTTGATTTTTATTCAAATACACTGTAAGAACTTTAATTTATGATTAAAAAAACTTTATAAATGCTTAATCAAAATTAAATTAATATTAAAACTATATTATAACAATATTAAGAACAATATTTTAACTTACTAAAATAATTTTTCATCATAATACATAGCTTTGAATGCATAGCAACCATTTTGAAACAAATGCATGATTGAAATTTAAGGACTAGTTCAAATAGAAAATTCAAATACTTTATGGGTCTGTCTAGGTTTTTCTGAGAGATAACTATTTTGTGAAAATTTAGACATAATTTTTGAAAATTAAAAATTTGGATTTATCGTTTCTTACGAGACACAAAAATAAAATTTTGAGAAAAAAGTATTTTGTGGAATTGTTCTACCGTTTTTCCTAAAGTTGTGTAGGTACCGGTAAACGGTAGTAAATTTCACTTGGACAGACCCCTGTACTTTAACTATTCAAACAGAGTTTCAATTAGCAAACCATAATCTTAATTTAAAATTTCCTTTTTTTTCCGTTTGATTTTTAAAATGACAAAATAAATGTAACAGATTGTGTTTATAAATGTAGTCATTCATCAAAAAATAAATATTTAATCTATATATTTTTATATTAAAATATTCACTTTTAATTCTATATCAAAATAGATACGTTAAGCTAAAAATATTTTTTTTTAAAAAATCTATGTACTCATAGGAATTTTTTTCCACAAAATTTCGTTATAGAAAATCAGATGTCAAAGATACTGTAAACATATTATGAGCAAAAATACCAGTTAATAACCCTACTGTTTCAAATAGAGTTTGAAAGGGAAGAATGACACTATATCAGGAAAAAAATATCTGAATTTATTGGCCTTTTTCTTTTCTTTCTATTTTTGGCAAATTGGGTATTTTCTTTTTAATATGCTTTTGAAAAAGCTTCAAAAATATACATTTTCCACCAATAAATATAATGTAGATTTTAATTCCATGCTTTTTCTTTCAAACGGTAGAATTTTAATTAACAATATTTACATTATTTTTCGAAAAAATTCATGTTTAATAATTACTTTCTACAGCTATGCAAGTCTATATTAAGACAGTATTAAACGCTTACTTTAATCTGTACTTTCAATCTCAAGCATCAAAAGATTCTTAAAAATGTAATTTTCAATGTGTTGGAATTTAACACACACCAAGAAAGAAAGTAATTTCGTTAACTAAAATTAATTAATGCAACAATTTATTTAAAATAAATTTTGAAACTAAGAAAAGAAAATAATAAAAGTATCAATAATTTAAAACACTGTTTTTTAACTTTTATAATCAATATATATAAAAAAAAATTAGTTGATTTAAATCAATGATTTTTTTAAAAAAATCATTTGATTTAAGTCATGATTTAAATCGTGATTTAAATCAAACTGATTTAAATCAACAAACCCTGCCACTAATGTTCAATTACATAGCCTTGTAATTTTGAACCCAATGCAGAAGAGAAGTGAACTCCTGGATCAAGTATTGGGAGACATTTGCCTCCGTGGAGGATATTTTGATGGAACTAACCTGCATTTGCGTTACATGGAGAAGAAAACTACTAAAATCTCCCACGGTTAGCCTGATAGCTAGGGGACTCTTAACGCATGATCCGTCTACCACTGAGGATATTTCAAGTCAGCACTGTGGTCAGTGTAAGCCGGATGCAGAATTCGTATTGACCTTCAAAAAATTATAAGTAGAAAAAAAAAAAAGAATTTATCGCCATATAAGAAATTGAGCCAGGGTGACTCCAGAAAAAGAGCGTTCGTCTGCCAATGAGGTGAAGCAGATTAGAATTCCAGCAATGGCTGATCAATACAAATTCCGTATCCGGCTCTCACTAACCACAGTGCTGATGTAAAATATCCTCAGTGGTATCCCCTTGCCGTCAGGCTAAGCATGGGAGGTTTTCGGGATTTTCCGCTCCATGTAACGCAAATGCGGGTTAGTTCCGTAAAAAGTCATTCACGATGGCAAAGTTTCTCCCAATACTTGATCCAGGAGGTTTTCTGGGTTCAAAATTTTAAGGCTACGGTGGGGTGGTCGGCTGTTCAACGACGGTTATAAAATAAAACAACATATAAGAAATTGTGATTAAAAAGAATATTTAAAATAAACCTTCATCCAAGTTGAATTAGTTGGAACAAGTCGACTGTTCATAGTTACAGAGTCTTTAAGGGAGATAAATCACCAGCAAGTAGTAAGATGTGGCATCTATAAAAAAATATTTCCATTAAATATAGCTGTTTTTTTCTTCTTATTTAAAAAATAATACATTAACAATAAAACAATCTAAATGATATTTAAGATCTATTTATCTTTTCAAACAAATCAGTTTTCTGGCAGTAATAGGAGAATTTTTATCAAATTTTCCCTGGACAGTAAATTGTTTCGCCAAATACCATAAAGTGTTTCCTTGTAGGAGAACTAAAATATCAGTGGTCTTTCTAGGTTTTTATGAGAAGTACTTACTTTGAGAAAATGTAGACATAATTTGTGAAAATAAGGATTATATTAAAAAAAGAACACAAAAATATGGTAAATTTTTACATATTTTTCCCCATAAATTAAAATACAAATTTATGTAAATAAAAAAATTAAAACTTTAAAAATAAAAGATGACAGGAGTTACAAGAGAAACAAAAAATATAATCAGAAAACTACATTTCATAAATATTTAATCTATTTGCATGCATAAATGAATGCCTGTCCGTTATGCGTCTTTTATAGACTGCTAAATCATCTAAACAGCAATATGGCATGCAAAAAATTCGAAGCACAAAGAAAGCCCGTTGAGCGAAAACGCCAACATCATTGAGTGAAAAACCAAATGAAATTTTCCAATCGGTCAAGCGTTATCCATTATTTTATAATTAACTTTAGACAATTTCCTAACGAGCCACGACTGTCTGGCTGAACACTTGCACCGCATCGGTATTCTAAATTCACCTGACTGTCTGCTCTGCAACTTGGCAGAGCCCATGAATAGGACCACCTCCGCCGCTGTGCTGCATTGCATTCCGGCTCTGAATCGTCGCTTTATTGGCAAGCCAGAGAACTTTAAGGGCAATGACTTCGGTCATTCTGTTTAGTTTATTTATTCACCTGTTTTGTCTTTGCATTTGTTTTCTGCGTTATTTCTTGTTTATGCCCTGCCATTGGAAATTAAAAAAAACTTAGACAATTTAACTATCCAAATATTTTAAAGATAACATCAGCAATATTTATTAGCTTATAGCATTATTTGATTAATAAGAAAAGGGAATTTATTACACTACTTTAATATTTAATTATTTTTATTTGCTCTATCAGATACCTTCAACATTAACGTGAGAGCATGAATAGACAATGTCACCATATTAGTATTCCTAAAGTTATCTCAGACCGTGTGCATATTTCGTTTATACCAATTCTTTTAAAACGTGTTTCTGTAAAAGTAAATGATTTAAAATCAACAGTAATTGAAATGAAAAAAAAATACTTAGATAAAATATATAAGTATTTTAAAAAATATATGAGTATTTAAAAAAATATATGAAAAAAACATGAGTATTTTAAAAAATATATGAAAAAAACATAAGTATTTAAAGGCAAAAATTAATAGAATAGTGGTATTAATTCGTTTAGGAGAAAAATGAAAAATCGACATGCTATTATTGACGCCGATGATTGTTAATTAATTTAGGTAATATATGCATAGTGAAATAAAAGAAATAAACCATGTACTACAAGACAAAATTAATGAAGTAAAGGTATTCATTCGCTTCGAGAAACTATAAAAAATTGCAGTACTATTATTGACAACAATGATGCTTAATCACTGTTAACAATATGTATTAGCTGAAATAAAAAAATAATTTATCAGCTAAATAGTATATTAATATTTTAATGAATTGGAATTAAAAGAAATCTTTTTTTCATCACTACTTATAAATATTTTAAACAGTAAATCAAAGATCAGATAGAGAAATAGTCATGCTCCAAAGTCCTTATCAAGGTCTCATAAGAATTTTATTTGTTTTTAAAATTCCGGGTTTAGTTGGCTGCTATTGATAAATGTATTTTGCACACAACTCAAATGTTAAAAGGTTATGTAATAAATCCCAAATATACTAATATAGGTATCGAGTATTATATTGACATATTTTCCGATTATTAAAACTACACCAACAGTAAGCAGCTTTAATATCAATATTGTGGAAATAAGTCTTTCACTCATGGCCCCTCGAAAGGGTTATATACAAAATTTTGACTATTATCAGCTGGCAGCTAATAGTGTTTTTCGAATTCTTTTGTCAAGAAAAATGAAAAAAGTCACAATTTAAAAGACAGAACTATAATTAACTTTAAGAGCACGGTAGACAACGTCAACAAAAGTTCGTCACAAAGCTCAGTCCATAACAGAGATTCGTAACAAAAAGATTCAACAAATGATTTTCTGCATGACAATATGTGATACCTAAGTCGTGGGGATATAGAATTCAGGACAATAGCTATTTCTTTGTGTTTCTCATAACTAGTAGATGGTAACTACCAGTGTACATTCAATGTTTGATAACACGGAGATACTTTAACCTGAAAAATAAATGCATTGATATTACCATTTTGGAAATATACATACAAAGTGTTAAAATCACTTTTAATACATAATTAAGGAATCATTGGCACATACTTAAGAAATCATTCGCATCTGAAAAAATGGAAATAGTAATAACATTTCATAAAGAGTCATAAATTAATTTTCAAGTGAGGAAAAAAAAAACAGTTTTGAACTCTCACCCACTACATAACTGATATCAGAAAGAGCAAAGGAGGGATTGAAATTATAAAAACAGCTTATTTTTTTAATTTAGATTGGAATGTGTTACGAACTGCCTTAAGTTTTATCCCAAAAATAGTTGTAGATGATTTTAATTACTTGTTTGCCTTTACACCCTTTGAAAAGTCCCCTTCAAAATTTGATCTGAACTAACCCCCCCCCCAACAAAAAATGAATAACACACAAGGTTGGATTTATATATAAGCAGAATAGGTTGCAGCTTAGAACCCCAAATATCTTTTTTTTCTTTTCTTTTTGCATTGCTCAGAGTTGTTCAAAATAAATTCAACAGCCAAGTAACATAAACAAATACAATTAATTTAATCTAAATTTAAGTAACAAAATATGAAGATTAAATTTANATCTTTTTTTTTTCTTTTTGCATTGCTCAGAGTTGTTCAAAATAAATTCAACAGCCAAGTAACATAAACAAATACAATTAATTTAATCTAAATTTAAGTAACAAAATATGAAGATTAAATTTAAGTAGAAATAATTTAAGTAACAAATTTAGAAGAAATAATTTAAGTAACAAAATATGAAGAGAAGAAAAAAAAAGATTAAGCACATAGCCGAGCTTAAAAAAATTTATTATTAATCCAGTACTTAGATCATAACTTTAATTACAAATTGTCAGGATTAGAATTAATCATGGAATACAACTATAAATAATTATGATAAGCAATAATTATGATCAGAGTAAACATTATTTTATTCCCTGTGGCAGAATTTTTTGGCATTCTGCGACAAACCTCTCTAGCGCTAATATCTTTCAGCAAGATACTTTTCATAATAAATAATGCATATGTTATTAATGACATTTAAAGTAACAGGAATGTTGTATTCACAAAGAAAAACCTATTAGGGTATAATAAAATTGTACTGTCCCATAGCGTGGGGGTTTAGGAAATAACACTCTTAAATAACACTATTTATTAATTATTTACAACATTTAGAATACAGAAGATGCGTCTTAACGCAACACTAACAGGTGAGGAAAACTAAACTGAAACTTTTAGAGGGAAAGTCCCAATTC